GCGGGGGGTTGAGCTGCGGCGGTCCCGGTGCTCCCGCAGTGCCCCTCCTGAGCTGCCAGGCTGGATTTTATGGGAATATCGATAGAATTAAAGTTCCTTGTAATTCCGTGATAAATGGGATGTCTCTAGTAAGTAAGATGAAGTGCGGTGCTGTGAAGTTGTTTATCTGGAAAGTAATTCTCAGAAACCTGACTTCTGACACTTGGTCATATATTAAACCAGCGTCTTGAACGTTGTACTTCAGATGCTCCTTTTCCCCCTTCCCCTCGCAGTTTGCTATTTATAAGACTTTGTAGGTGCGGGTGAGTTGCTGGGTAATTTTTCACCAACTGTGAAAAGCATCGTTTGCAACAGCCAAAGAATTCTCTGCTTGGGAAATAGTACGGGGAGAGTGGGCTCACGAATAGATAACATCTCCCGACCGTGCCATTATCGGCACAAAGCCGTGCGGCTGTGCTGCTCCCGGCAGCCAAAAGGCAGGGAGGGCACGCTGCGAGGCGAGCAGGATAACGACACCTAGATGGGATCGCAGAGGCGATTCTGCAAAGCTAAAGCATGCTCTGACAGCACAAACAACAGGAGTGTAGTTCTGCACAGCCCCAAAGACATCCGGACATCTGCCGGGTTTATCTTGGAGATTGCAATTAGTGACAAACTGAATGCAACTCGGGTTGGCTTTCCTATTCCTGCACACCATTGGAACCAGCAAAAGTTCCCAGCTCACAGCATAAACCTCCCAGGACGGCCCCATTCCCCACTCTTGTTTTTCCCAGAGCGAGATGAATGTGGCACCGTATGTCACTTAACGTGCTCACCTATGAGAGGCATAAAAAGTGAAGGTTACTGCTTTTTAGAACGCACACTCGCAGTTGTTCCACTTGCATGTTTGATGGGTGTCTGTGAAAACACAGCTCCAGCCCCAGCAAACTGTTTGTTTGCATTCGGAGTGCTCCGTTTGCAAACCAGTAGCTTTCTGAGTAAACTTGAGACAAAGAGCACAAATTTGGGTGAGCTGAGGGGGGCCTCTTCCTTCACACCGATGTGAGCGAGTGCAAGCGGAGCTGTGACCTCCAGAGCAGCACTGGAGTTATTGTACAAAATTGTTCTGCTGTGATTATTGCAGAGCTGCCGCCCCAAAACGGCGCGGCGTAGCAGGGAGAAAGGATTATTAGCAATTTTTGGATAACCTTCAGAAGCAACAACGCTCTCCTCCCTCCCCTCTGTAATTCTCACTGTAGTGCTATTTTCCTTTATTATTTGGCTATTCACGACGGCTGTCTAAACATTTACAGTCCCCCTATTAACAGCGTTTCTCCCCTAACAATCGCGCACTTTCATTTCAATTAGAGCCATTCAGGCTCGGGTTTTGCCACCAGGCCACGTCCCAGCCCCTCTCCCTCTGCCAGCACCGACCCGGGCAGCGCACAGCCCACATCCCCGCACCTCCTGCCCCGCTCCAGGTTAGGAGCTCAGACCGCGATGCGTTCTGCTTTGGGTGCGGATCAGGAACAACACATTAAGAACAGTTACCGCTCCCATTGTTTGCCCGGTGTCTGATTTTATGGTGCAGAACTAAAGAGTGCCCGCTGAATTTGACTATGGAACCGGGCAAATTGCTTTCCGAAAGACTTCTTCGGAGCACAGTGATAAGGCACAACCCGCTCCTAGGTGCAGCGCCAGATAAATCCTTTTAACAGTCCTCAGATCAGTTAACAGGGTGAGTAAATCACAGATCGCTGTTAGCAGATTTATGGGAGAGAATTAATAGAATCAGACGAGATAATCTGGCGGGGATAAAATTGCTGAGGAAACAGTCCTGCCTTCTATGGGGGGTACAGAACAGCGCTGTGATTGCGGGCAGCCAGCGCGGGTCGGGCATTCGGGGCTCAATCATCGCGGCGGCAATTTGGCGTTTATTAATTCTTTTCTCTTTAAGCAACTCGCAGATGCAAATAAAAGCCACGCTCTCTTTGAAGACACGTTCTTTATATATTTTTATTGGAGGTAATTTACTATTTGCATTACCTGTATTTACTTCATAATTGAACATTTTGCATTCAAATTTATGGAACGCGCTCCGCTCGAGAATGTATTTCTCCCCGATTAGCATAAATAGTCACTTACCTCATGAATTACTAACAAAGTTTATCTGAAAATATAGGTGTCTTTTTTATTAAGTGGAGCACCAACATATGTACCACGAATCCCGATTTGCTGGTGGTGCTGTGGTGTCGGAGAAGAGGGAACAGAAGCAGCGGCAAACAAGCGCCATCGATTAATATCTGTATGAGCGTGACAATAATTGCTTCTGCCGATGCTTTGCTAATTGTTAATAACGAGCCGGCGACTCAAAGTTTCCTGCAGAAGAAGCCAGAAAGGGGGGAACCTCCTTGGTGGGTTTCCCCCCTCGTTGCCCCATGCTCGCTGATGGCCGGGGCTCGCTCGGGGCTCCCTGCTCACTGTTGGGATTGTTTCTCTCTTCCCCTTAATCCTGTTTTTATGCTCAGCTGCAAATCCCAATAACGGATATGATTTAGGCCCATCCTCCAGTATTAACACGACCCTACTTAGACAAAGGACACCCGAACCCTATCGACTGCCGGATTGAATCCTTCATCCCATGGAAGCCAACAACAAAACTTCCATTGATTTCAGCGGCAGCAGGATCAGGTCCTGGCTGGCAGCAATTTGTTTGTGTCAGAGGGCCGGGGGCTGCAAAAACTGAGAGCCATCAGCCAGCAGGGAATGAGGTCTGCTCCCCACTGACTTCCCCACATGCCCACTGACTTCTGGTGCATCTCCACAAGCCGGGTGCTGACATACACGTGTGTTTTGTCTGGGTGCAATGAGCACATCCCTAAGTGTACCACTGCAAAACGAGCTGCTTTCAGCGCTCTCACTTTTCCTGTGCCTGGGCAATCCATTCCCGTGACTGCAGCTTGCTGCCCCATCCACTGTTCTTTTATTTTAAAGCTGAGAAAATCTTCCTTTTAAACTCATGCTGAGCATCAAATTGGACTCCACTTGCAGCTGAACATCTTGGCTGCCTGTTCCCCAGCCTCTCTGGTATATTTTATGTAGAATTCTCTCTGCTAATGCAACTTGCTTTCCCTCTCTGTTCTCTTTTCAGTTTTGCATCGGTGTTGCCGAATCCATCATTTCCACTGCTTGCTTATTGTGTTTCTGAAACACTCAAAATATCCCAAATAACTTCGTATGATCCAGAAGGAACTTTCTTCTGGCTGGAGGTTGGTGCCACCAGGTTTGTGCTGTGCTCACCCTATGATGCATGTCCCATTTTACTCATTTCCATGAATGGCTCGGGCTGGATGTAAAAATCAATACAGACATCCCTGATGCCAAAAACCTATTTGTCTGAAAGATATAAAAAGTGAAATTGCAATAAAGATTTTTATCAGGTTTTATGGTGGAATTCGTCATTTATAACTGGGATGATGATGTTGGGTTATATAATGTGTTTGTGCTCAAATTAGCAAAGAGAGGTAATCTGGTAAAATCTGGTGCACAGGTTGAACCCTGTAGAAAACTACAATTAGTTAAAGGAGGAGAAGAAAAAAATTACATCAGTATCACATCACCAAGCTATCCCAGCAAAGCCCTGTGATACACACGAGGCGTTTCTATCTATTTTAGCTCCAAAAAATCCTTGCTGCTTCTCTCCCTTCTGCTCTGCATTGAGTTGTTTCAGCAGCAAGGAGCAGTGGCAGCATGAAATAATATGTGAATTTTATGTGCTCTCTCTTTCCTCAAAGCTGACTGCCAGTGAGTGGCAAGGGGGGCACGATATGGAGGTGATGTTTTGATGTGTGACTGCAGAGGGTGAGACGGCCATTATTAAGAGTGATTGACTTCAGTAACTTTTAAACAAAGCTGTGATTTAATGTGTTAAAGCCTGAGATGGCACAGACTCGTTATTAGTTGATGTGGTGGGCTGAGTGCCATGCACTGGGCTTATCCCATGTGAGTAAAGCATAGAAATATGTGGGGTAAGCAATGGGGTCTTCAGCA